TTTAATTTGAAAAAGAAAGAGAACAAAGATCTTATAGACATTTTAACTTGAATTAAGGTTTAAAAAGTGCTAATTTAAAAATCAAATCGACGCGTGTAGATTAACAAAGATTTTATACAATTAGAAAGACTGAGATTTTTACATTTTTAACAAGCAGTGTAACAGTTACGTGAGTGATACACACCTGATGATGGCCATTTAGGGCCGAAACATGTAATGTGGAGGAGGAAAAAGAGGAAAAAACTACAATAAAATTGTTGCACTTAAGACGGTATTTGTCCATATATATTGTGTGAGTGTAACAGGATGCTGAAATATAATATCACAATATCTGTGTTATAACTTCACGTACTGAATGCAGTGATTCGATCGCAGCTAGAATATCTATTCTGAAAACGAATAAGCTGTAGTAAGGTTCACGATACCGTATGTTTTGTTCTAAACAATATATTTTAACTTAATTAACTTTAGATTTCCTAGAATTCGACATCATGGAAATAATATGATCGATTTGCAGGTTAGGTCGCACAGGAAGAAGAAAATATGCTAGTCAAAACCGAAGTACTAAAATGGAATTCTCATGAAACATCCCCGTCTACTTGCCGCTCCTTCTCACGCCTTGCTCTGCTGCCACTATTTCGCGCTTCTTCGTTCACTGGGTTGTTTGCTCTTCACTTGCGTTGAGGGGCGCCAGCACACATGTAACTTGTAAGAGTGGAACAACTCCTTTCCCCACCTTCCATGAGAAATTTTTGGCTAGTGCAGCTATAACTGATGCGGAAATAAAATGGACAAGCCGCACAGAGTGCAGCAAGAAAGTTGTCTCTGAGTGTACTCTGTCCGATATGGTTCAGAGCTTCTTGATTTTTCAGAGACTGTTGCGAGCTTTTATAGATGTTAGGATGGAAAGAGAATCATGGGATTCAAAATGTTGGCATCGAAGACTCCCAGGGGAATAGAACAGTACATCAGAAGCAAGTGTTGAAAATTTGGGAAAATTATATTACAGAACTATATGATCAACCTAATCGGCCAGAAACCTTAGAAGTTGAACCAGAAGAAGAAGTAGATACAGACGAGAAAGGACCATATATTTTACAAAGTGAGGTGGAAAAAGCTATCAAGGAAATGAGGAAGGGAAAGGCTACAGGAGATGATGATGTACCTGGAGATGTGCTCAAGTTACTGGGAGAAGGTGGTTTGAAAACACTGACAAAACTAATGAACACCATATATGAAAGTGGAGAGTGGCCCAAGGACTTTACAGAAGTTACAATGATTGCCTTAAAGAAAAAGACAAAAGCTACAAAATGCAGCGACCATCGCACAATAAGCCTTATTGCACATACAGCAAAGATAATAGCAAAGATACTTAAAAGAAGAATTGAAAGGAAAATAGAGGATGTACTTGGAGAAGATCAGTTTGGATTTAGAAGAGGAAAAGGAACCAGGGATGCAATTGGGATGATGAGAATTATAGCGGAACGAACTTTGGAGATAGATGAAGAACTGTGTGTTTGCTTCATAGACTGGCAGAAGGCATTTGACCGGGTAAACTGGACCAAATTAATGCAGATCCTGAAAGAAACAGGTATCGATTGGCATGAAAGAAGATTGATTAGCAAATTGTACATGGATCAGAAAGTTAGAGTACGACTGGACAGGGGGGAGACAGGAAGTGTGCAGATTGGAAGAGGAGTTCGACAAGGATGCTGTTTATCACCAATTCTGTTCAACTTGTACAGCGAATGCCTTACCAAGGAAGCTCTGGATGGGCTCGGTGACTTCAAAGTAGGAGGGCAAATTATTCAAACTGTGAAATATGCAGATGACCTTGTGTTAATGGCTAAGGAAGAAACTGTGCTACAGGGCATGATTGATAGACTAATTGAAATTGGAAGGTGCTATGGCATGGAAATGAATGTGGAGAAAACAAAAGTAATGAAAATTTCGAGACAACCAACCCCAGTCACAATAAAGATAGACCAAAAACAAGTGGAGAATGTGAAATGTTTTAAATATTTGGGTAGCTTGTTAACAGATGATGGAAGGTGTACTTGTGAAATTAAATCCAGGATTGCCATGGCAAAAGCTGCATTTAGCAAGAAGAAGAATCTTTTTACCAGCAAATTGGACTTAAATTTGAGGAAGAAACTAGTGAAATGCTACATTTGGAGCATAGCTCTGTATGGGGCTGAAACATGGACACTTAGGGCAGTAGATCAGAAACATCTGGAAAGTTTCGAAATGTGGTGTTGGAGAAGAATGGAGAAGATCAGTTGGACCGATTATGTGAGAAATGAAGAAGTGTTAATTAGAGTCAGTGAGCAGAGGAATATCCTACATGAAATAAGAAAACGGAAGGCTAATTGGATTGGTCATGTTTTACGCAGAAACTGCCTTCTAAAAGAAGTTATCGAAGGAAAGATAGAGGGGCGGATAGAAATGACAAGAAGACGAGGAAGAAGACGTAAGAAGATGCTGGATGACCTTGGGGACAGAAGAGGATACTGTCATTTGAAGGAGAAAGCTCTAGATCGCATTAAGTGGAGGAATTGTTTTGGAAGAGACTGTGGACCTGTCATCTTGACAGATTACTGATGATGATGATGACCATGTGATAGTAGGGGCAAAGTATAGGCCATGCCATAGCTCAAGCGGTTAGTCGCTGGCTTCCCACCGCGACGGCCCGGGTTCGATCCCGAGTCTAGACAATTGGGATTTATGGTGGACAAAGAGGCGCTGGGGAAGGTTTTCTCCGAGTACTTCGGTTTCCCCTGCCAATCTTCATTCCACCAATTGTTCCACAATTACCCTCACCTATCATCTGGGGCCGGTACAATTGGCCAGAATTGGCCGCAGTACAAGGGACTTAGTCCCACCCCACTAGCAATAAAAAGAAGGGGGGGATATTAAGTGTCTTCATAACACCCATCCCAAATGAACAGTAAAACAGTTTTTATCGCTTTATATGCACACCTACTGTAACTGTTGGCTCCCTACAGCGTGAAAGAAGAGGGATCTGTTCTCTAGGAAAATGGTAACATTAGATACTAACACGGCGAGCCAGTGCAGCAAACAGCAGATGAAATCTGACGAAGTCTATGCAGTAACAAACACGTAGCTACTCACAGCTGATAATGTTTTGAAAGTTCATTTTTAATATCAAATTGTGGATCTAGGATCGCCTAATTAGGTTTAACCTATTGTGTATACGAGTTTATCACATATACGATTTTTATTCTTATTTTATTTTATTTTACTGTCAATTTTAACCATAGTCTAGTCTAGATTTGGCTAGTTGTGAATTGAATAGAAACTGACGTGTACGAACCATTTATAAAAATGGGAATGTTAGCGTTACAGTTCGGTGATGATGTGTGAAAAGCCTGTAGCTCCTGCAGATGACCCGTTTGAGGTCGACACACGTAGTGCGTGCTATATAAATAAATAAATAATAAACATGACGGCATAACACCTACATAAGCCGAGAACCACAGAGCTACAAGTGATTAGCCTTCATACAACGCAGTTGGAGCCCAGCCTTCATGCAACACAGTTGGAACCTAGTTGAGACGTCGCAGAAGTCACGTGATACCACAAGCGATAATAATTGTATGGTGTATAAGTGTGAGTGTCCAATAAAGAGTCGTTAAATCCGAGACCCACGTGAAGTCATCTGTCGCGTGACACACCCAACACGTGACAGTATTGTTGCCTTGACCGTAAAAATTTTATAGTGTGTGACTAAATGGGAGTATTAGGAGAAGGACGATTTAGTGCCCTGGCACTATCACACACTAGTATCATCTCCACCACTCCTAATGCAGCAGCGAACATGGTTATAAATGTATTACACGCAACTGCATTGAAATATTTTACTTAGCATTTCATATGAATGTTACATGTTTATTTCTACTGTGTTCTGTACATTCATCCAGTGATGGGGACTAACAAACGTTACATCAGGTTACAGATTCAGTTCGACTAGATGGGCCAGAGTTGATTGGAAAGCAGCGTTGTAATCAGTGGCCACCTCATTGGAGATGTAATTACTGCGCTCATCCTTGTAGTTGTCGTTGTTGTCTGGGCCACCAACCAAGGCACCTATGAGCACGTGGTAGTTGGGACTCTCACTGTTGTACGTGTTCCAGTCACATACCGCCGGTGCCTCGGGGCACGAGCTGTAATAAAGGCATGCGCAGTCTCCAACATTGTTTGTGTAGGCACAGAACACTTCAAGGTACACTCTTCTTCATAAATTTTTGTGCAATTTTTGCCTTCCGTACCGAAAAGTCTACTTTTATTTTTCCCTCCCCTATCACTGGTCTTTTTTTTTTCGATTACTTGATATTATTAATATATTTAAATCCAGAAATATCATAAATAATTAGACATTTTCATGATTGGTTTTCAGCACGACTTTCATGTTTATCTTTACGAACACCGAAGAAGATTAACAACAAATGGAACTAAATGAAATCCATCCGATTGACACTTTGGCAGTGTTGCATTTTGCAAAACCGTATCAGAAAGTGGAACGCATTGATGCTTTTAGAAAATAACAAATATTTATGGTTGGGAATTGCCCCTGATTAAACGGCCTAGGCTTATTTATTTATGTATCATAACTTTACTAGAGTAGAGAGTCATAAAGTGAGGACACAGATAATTCTTTGAAAACTGCGAGAGAGTTTAATTATTTAAGAAGACAAATTACATACCGAAATTATATACACTGAAGAATTTAGTTTTCGATTTTCTTGCTCGGAACCATATCTTTAAATGCCAAGTGCAGGATTTCATTTTAACTGTTTCTATATAGTGTGCCACTGCTTTTCTGGTATTTATGGTAAGCCATGTGTACAGAGGCTTATAATATTTGTGCGAAAGTTAGTGTATGGCCTGGGGTGACTGAAATGTTGAAGTACTGAAGAATACTAAGTAATAAGATGCTTAATAAAGTATCCTCTTCACCACTGTTCAGGTGATGAAGTGAAGAAAGGTGAGATTACTAGAACATACGTACATGATACAATTTGGAATTAAGAAAATACAAGAAATTTTGATGGAAGCTTCTCAAAGACAGAGTAATTGGTATACCAGAAGCAGATGGAAGGAGTAAATGTAGGATTGTAAGTGAAACATACCTGGATCTGTGATGCGGGTGAGTGGGTGGATTATTGCCATAACCAACGACGTAGCTGCGGCCAGCATCTCCCAATATATAATCAATCTGCTTCTTGCCATACTGACGATAAGTATCAACACTGATTCCCAGATCCGCTGCCTGAAATACATTTGTATTACTATATACAGGACAGTTGGTCTTGAGACGGCACTAAATAATATACAAATAACTCCATGAAGATGAGCCCTTCTTGCCTTCTTGAGAAGCCGCCACTTGTACAGCCACTCAAGAATTTCCTAACATTTTATGAAATCCAAAACTTCATTAACATGTTAGCAAGAGCCCCTCTACTGGTCCCTATCCTAAGCCATATCAATCCAGTCCATAACATCCCCTCCTATCTCTCTAAGATCCATTTTAATATTATCCACTCATCTACGTCTTGGTTTTCCTTCTGGCCTTTCCATCAATATTCTATATGCTACATGCCATGCCCATCTCATCCTCCTTGATTTATTTATTCTAATTGTACTTGGTGAGGGTTACAAGTTATGAAGTTCATCCTTAAGCAGTTTTATCCACCCTCCTGTCACCTCGTCCCTCTTTGGTCCAAATACTCTCCTCAGCACCCTGTTCTGAAACACACCCAACCTATGTTCCTCCCTTCATGTCAGAGACCAACCCATACAGAACCACAGGCAAATTAATAAATTTTTATATTCAAATGTTTACTTCTTAGACAGCCGACAAGAAGACAAAAGGTTCTGGACTGAATGGTAGCAAGCATTACCCAAATCCAGTCTCTAAATTTCCTCCTGAATCAAATTTTGATTCGTTCTTGTCGTTCCAAAATATTTGAACTGTGCCACATCTTCAAATGACCTGTTAGCTATATTTAAGTCATGATTTTGCCCAGCATTCTGACGAGACAGAAACACCTGCTTGATTTTCTCTGTGCTTACTTCTAGACTAGCCTCCGTACTAGTGTCAGTTGTAGTTTCAGTGCTTTTCTTTATGGTACCTGTGTTACCTCCTAACAGATTCACACCATCAGCACAGACCAGCAGCTAATGTGTCCCACTTAATTTCAGTCCCACCTGGTTTTCCTAGACCTTCTAATGGCATATTCTGAAGCAAAGTTGAAAAGCAGTGATAATAAAGCATCTCCTTGTTCAGTCCATTCTGTATAGGAAGATTATCAGACAACTGTTTACCTGTAGGGACTTTACTACATGTTTCGTTTAAACACATTTTAATCAGCTTAACTAGTTCATGAGTATCCCAAACTCTATCAGAATATTGTACAATATTTCTCTCTTAACTGAAACATAGGCTTTCTTGAAGTCTATGAATAGCTGATGTACTGTCTCATCGTATTCCAATTTTTTCCCCAGTATCTGAAGACTGCGAAAATTCTGATCAGTAGTTGATTTGCTATATCAAAACCCACACTGATGGTCTCCAATAATTCAATCTACATATGGACTTAAACTTGAGAGAATGATATTGGATAAAATTTTCAAAGAAGTTGATAACAGTGATATCCCAAGATAATTAATAGAGTTTTAATAATAATAAATAATAAATAATTAATAATAAAGTTTTATTGCCCTGCTTGTAAATTGGTACAATAATAGCCTCTTTCAACCAACCAGGCAATTTTCCCTTATTCCGAATAGAATTAATGAGTTTATGTAACTCAGACAGTAATATTTCACTTCCTGCTCGAATCAGTTTTGCCGGAATTCGATCACTACTCGTACCTGGTAATTTATAAATTTTCAAGTTTCGATAGAAATTTCAACCTCAAACGGGGTAGGATCAGGTACTAGCGGCTCAGTTGTACGTATTTCTGTCTGCCTATGTACCTACATTCAATAACTGAGAGAAGAATTCTTCCACCTATTCATAACGTTGTGGGAATCTGCAAGCAGATCACAATTCTCATCCTTCTTTAAGTAATTTTTAGGTTGGTAACCCCTCTTAAATTCATTTAGTGCTCTATGCAGGGCTCTAATTTTCCTGTTCTTACTGTTCTTAGGATGATAATTTATTTTGTCTTTCAGATATTCCCTCTTCTTTTTCCGAAATGACTGCTGGTTTCACATTCAGATTAACCTAATTTATTTCGCTTGGGTCCTGTAACCACTGCAGATTGTCTAGTTTCCTTTAATCTAATAATTCTGAGCATCATTTTTTGAACCATGGCTTACGCTTCTTCAGTTCGTAATAATCTAGACTCCATTTGGCCGAAATTTTGATATCCTCTCTAATAGTTCCCAAGTTCTATTAACATCTATTTCAGATTTCACACTGATACTGCTCGTTACACTCTACCTCGTTTAATTTCTTCAGATTGAACCTCTCCATGTGAAATCTGTGCATTGTTTGTTTGCTCACTGCCAGTCTCTCCCTAACTTTTACCACCACCAGACAGAGGTCAGTATCACAATCTGCTGCCCTGAACGATTGGACATCAAATACACTTAAATGTCGTCTCCTATCTATAAATTTCTTTAATCAGAAGACGTAGAAGTAAATTTATGAATGTTTTAAGATGTCTTAATATTGTAACATGTTGCGCGACTGAGAACCCCCCTCCTCTCCACGGTAACGTAGCGCTCCCCGCCACTCCCCTCCGCGGTGACGTCACGCGGTGACGTAACGCGCAACGCTAACGTAACCGTAATCAACGTCCTACTGTGACGTGGCACTCATTACGCCACAGGCAAGCACTGCAGCTATATAAGTGGATGCACAGTGCGTATC